CCCTCCATCCCAACACACTCTACCAGCATCCTAGACTTCCTCCCTACCTCAGCCCTGTCACCTAGGTAGGTGCCACCTGCCATGGGGCTGACACTGTTTTGCTCAGACTTGGGAGAGGGTATGGGGAGCATCAAGGCTCCCATCCTGTTCATCTCTACCCACCCTCTCTGTTGAGCACATAGTAGGTGCTCACTAATGTCCACATATAAAGGCAGGAAGGGCAAGAGTGCTTGGAGGAGGTGGGAATCCCTAGGCTGGGCTCGGGGCTTCATGGAGGTGGCATCTGGGAGGATCCTCCATATGTCACTGCTAAGGCAACAGCTGGGGACAGGCTATAGGAGGTGCCCAGGCCAACCCTACCTAGGGCCACCAGAGCAAACCATTAGAGTGGGAACAGCAGCTGCAATGAAGGAAACTCAGTGCCCTAGGCCCCAGGCCTCTGGAGGGGCTGGCTATGCATTCAAGGAAAGCTTCCTGGAGGAGGGGTTACTTTTGGCTGGTTTGGTGTAAGGAAGAAGGTAGAGATGCGTCAGGTTGGAGAAAGTGGTGAGGGACAGGGATGTGAAAAGAAAGCTCTTTCCCATCTTGTCGTTTACCCTTGGGAGGCCAAGGTCAGAGAGGTAGGTGGATGGGCAGGAGAAGGAAAGAAGTCTGAGGTGCAATGGAGATAACATCAGTGCCGACACCATGGTCAGGGCGGGTATGGATGGCTGGGGTTGGCAGGGAGCAGGTCCCCAGCTGTGGCTGGGAAACATTTCCTGTCTCCTTGCCAGGGGGGTCATTAATAATCGTTTACCCGCCGCAGGCAGCACGGAGGCCAGCCAGGGAGCAGCATGGTGCTGGGGCCAGAGCCCAGCCTGGTGGCCAGAAAAGCTATATTCTGATACCAGCCCTGCCACCTCGTTGTGAGACCTGGACCAGTCACCTGACTGTCAGTCTCTGAGAATGCTGGTAAAAGGAGAGTCTGATGAGAATGTTGCCTTGAGTCCCCTCGTTGGTCTGGGCCTCAGTTTCCCTAAATGGCAGCTGGGTTGCCAACCCTGCAGGGCAGTTATGGAAAACTGATGCTAGATGTGAGCATCTAGATTATGCCAAGCCAAGCTCAGGACACATGGGACGAGGAGAGGGAAGACCCAGATAAAACCTTTGCTGAGCACATATTCTGGCAGAAAACAGAATCCAGCACTGCGGGGTGCACACAAAGAGCCTCATGAAACCAGGTGCACCAGGCTGGGGGAAACCTAGAAGGGAGGGCCAGCTGCCCAGGACCAGAAGACTGACAGTGTGTCTGGACACAGAAGGTAGGAGTTCCATGAGACCAATTTGGTCACTATTATGACCCCAGGACTTAAAACTGTGCCCGCCTAGTACATAGCAGATACTCAATACTTTAAGAGAAGTGAATGAGTGAATCTGTTAAATAAGAGATTTGTGGAAAGGACCTTAGAATTTGGAAAGAACTGCCTAAAAGATGATAGTAATGATGATGATGATGATGATGACAACGATGATGACAGTGACAATATTTCAAGACAAAGACAATGAGATGGATGGAAAGGGTGACAAGAAAGCTTGAGAAAGCGGGAGGCCCAGGGATAGCCGTCCAAAGGCAGATAGGACTGGTTGGGGAAGGGCCAGCTGCCTTCCCTTGTACCAAAGATCCCTTTTGCCAATTGGGCCAGAATCTTCCTTAGCCTTAGGCTACATTTCTCTGCCCATTCCAAGAGCCTTCAAAGACCAGCGCAAGCTTATTCACTGGAGAGAATCTTCTGGCAGGTGATGCTGAGGCATCACCTCAGCCCCTTCCCCAACTGACTCAAATTGTCTGTTCCTTCCATTTTTAAGGAGTCTTGGACTTTCACTCTCTCAAACACCTGTTCAGAGTCTGCCAGATAAGGTTTCCCATAGCTCTCTCTGGAGGGTATGACCTGGCTCCTCCTGCTGCCTGCATCTGCCCCATCACACTAGAGGGTCCCCAAAAGTTTGGCCAGCTCTCCCTTTTCACAAAGGGTCTCTGCGAGGACAGGACTATTTCTTACCCATCATATGTGGGTCAACAAAAATAGAGATGGATTGAGGTTGCCCTGGTTGTCTCCCAGCCCAGGTATCCTCCGCGGGGGCTGCAGCCACAGAGAGAAGGAAAGAGAAGCGAGCCTGGAGAAGGGTGTGCTCGGCAGCTCAGCACCCTGAGGTGACGTGAGCTTTGGGCCACCACGGACTAAGACGCACTGTTGACAAACTCACCCAACTCCATGCCCAGCCCAAGCTGCTCTTGTACCAAGAGGTTCCGCTGAGGCTACCACCAGGCCTCATTGCCTGCCCCCGCCCCTCCCCTCCACAGAACACTGTGAGGTGGTGCTAAGCACAGGAACCTTGTCTGCACATCCATCCTCTCCCAACCCCCTCCAAACCGGGCCCCAAACACAACCAGTCAGGCTAAGAGGAAAAGAACAAAGGTTCCCGGACCGCGACATCGCCTGCCGCCCGCCTGTCCAGCGCCTGCTTAGCCGGAAACCCAAAACAAAGGCCTTGGTCAAAGTGAGGAGGATGAAGGGCAAAGGGTAGGGGCAGCTTGGGCTGGGGGGGATGCAAGAACGTCACAGGGCATCTCTGGGGACCTCAGTGGGAGGGGAGCAAAGGAAGAACGGCAGCCAAGTCCTCCCTGCACACACACGTCACTCCACAAACATTTATGGGGCACCTGCTATATTCCACACAGCCCAAACATGACATACCTTATTCCTCCCACTATACACCTTCCCCCCACAGCAAATTCTGCTGCTTTCAACATCCCTACCCCATCCCCTAGCTCACTGGACACCCCTCACTCACTCTTCACTACACATGCAAACAGTTCACAGGAAGAAAAGATCACATAATTCACATCTCACACCCAAAAGTCACACAGCCCACACACCCACACTTCATGCCACACTCACACCCAGTCTCCCACCATGCACCTCACACACCTCTCCCTCACCTCCCAACCACAGACATATGCACCCAATCAAATTCAACACACATATCACCCAGACTCAGAGACACATGCAAACACACCCTGCATAGGTAATGTGCACACCTACTGTCACACATTTGTGGGCACACGTAGCCCCTCAGCATAGACAGCCCTGCTGGCACACTGCCTTCTTCCATCCCACCCCCATGTGTGCATGTGTGTGCACACGCATACACACACTTTCAACTGGGCTCCTGGTCTAGGACCCCATGGCCTGGCTGCACCCTTTCCTGGCTGTTCCAGGAACAGCCACCACACAGAGACATGACACTCAAACACCAACACACAGGTGTATATATATGTTCCCCCAAGCAAACCCAGGGTATGTCACCATGGCTCTAAGCCAGTCACCTAGGCCACAAACACAAGCAACTCCCCAACTCCTCTCTGATAAGACATCCAATAGAACCCATCAGTCCCCCACAGTGGCCCTTCCTGTCTACACACAACACCCAGTAACATACACAGCCCCCATGCAAGCTGCCCCCACAAAAGCTCCACCTTACAATGACAGACACACAACTACATACACACGAGTTCTCTCCACACACAACCGTCACACACCCAGCTGCCACCACCCACAGCACTGCCTCCCTAGCCACACACAGCATGCACCATGGATTCATAATGTCTACATTCCCCACCATCTTCCCACACACAATCTCCCTCATGAGGACACAATGAGACTCGACACAACACATAGGATTACACACAAGGCACACCCGAACCATGCAGCCCAGCCCATGCTACACACACATCGAAACGCTTACACAAACACATACACTCCTAACTCACCCCACCACAGGTGACTAATAGCAGGTTGCAGTCTACTCTCCCCCATCCCAAACCCCGCTGCCCCTCTCAAGAATAAAGCTCAGGGATGGATGCTTTATAAGTTACAAACACTGGTGCCCTACCACGGGCTCCCCACCCACCTCAGATTCCCTGGGCAGCACTGGAGGGCAGCACAGTCCATGTTCAAGCGTTTCCACCTGAGCCCAGAGCACACTATACCTGAGAATGCGGGTAGAGGTTGGGGGAGGTCTGGGGACACTGGCCCTGCTCTCTGAGCTTGCCCCCTCCTCACACCAAAGCAGAGGCAGATGTAAGAAGAAGAGATGACCTCAGAAAGAAGATAGAAACCTAGAGAAGTTGGGGGAAGAGAGAGACCAAGAAAGGTGGGCACATGGGGGAACAGAGAGAAGCAGAAGGGCAGAGAGCAAACCCAGAAAGACTTCCAGAGAAACCAGAAGAGAAACCCAGAGAATAAAGTGGGACTACCACACCCAAAGAGAAACAAGAGGGAGGGGGAGACCAGCACGAAAAGACCAGAGGACCTCAAATACAGGAGGGAGGAAAGGAATGGGGTGGGGTGGGAGATCCTGTAGAGGAGGTGAGAGGACCCCTGGCAGAAAAAGGGCTCTGCACCCTGGGGTTGTTCGGAGCCAAGGACTGAAGTCTAGTTGGTTGAGTAGGAATCTGGATAGGTGCACAGCTGAGGCTGTGACGTGGACTTCAGGAGCCTGAGGTGAGGCCCCAGCTTTGAAGTGGGTCCCAGTAGAAAGTGGGGGTTCAGGTGCTCTGGCTGTGCTAGTATATGGATGGTTAAGGTCCAGAGGCTAGGGCAGGAGTCCTCCACTTATCTAGGGGGAGTGGGGAAGCATAGGGAGAGCTCTCAAGTGCAGACTGGGGTCCCACTGTGGACTGGGAGTTCAGGGGTTGGGGTTAACTCTGGTCCTAGATCCGAATGAGGTTCAGAGCTTGACTGTGAGCCGGGGCTTCAAGGGCTCTGAGTATGAGCTGCAGTCCAGTACCAGAGTAGGATTCAGAACTAGGGGAGGGATCCCCTCCCTGAGGAGGTTTCAGAGGGCTCAGATCAAGGTGGACCACGGAGCTGGAGTCTGCATGCTCCGCGGAGGACCCGGCCCGGCGCTCGCCGGACACCGGGTTCCCCTTGTGCCCAGAGCGGGGCCCCCCCCCCTACCTGCAGGCTGTCGGCGCATGGTTGCGGCGGCGGCGGCTCGTCCGGCTTGAGGAAGACCTGCTGGCCCCGCCTAAGGAATTGGACAACAGCGATGAGGATGTGGTGCAGCACCAGGACCATGCTCGCAGCCGCCCGCCCGCCCGCCCGCCGGCCCGGCTGCTGTGCTCGGTCAGCGCGTCCGCGACAGCTTCGCCGGGTCCGCGAGAGTGTCCGCCCCGGCCCCGCCCCGGCCCGCCCCCGACCCGCCCCCAGCCCGCCCCAGCCCCGCCTTTCTCCCGGCAGAGGGGACAGCACCTCTCAGCCCGTCGGATCTTCAGACCCACCAGATCCCCCATCGGCTCTCACTTCCCTTCTCTCTCCGTTCCCTAGATTCCCTAAATTCTTCCAGCTTGTCTGCATTTAGGATCCCCCGCCAGGCAGCGGCTTTCAGCCTTCGCTCCCTTCCGCTTGCTCCACCGCCACTCCTCTTGCTATCTCAGAGCCCCCACCCTGTCTGATCGCACTCTCTCCCCCTCACTACCACTTTCAGTCCTGGGTCTCAGCTAGAGTCCGGAGGCAAGAGACCAGCAGAGTTGGGGGAGAGAGTGGAGAAGATAGTGGAGGGGCCGCGGACCATACAGGAACCCTGGGCTTGCTCCTCTCCCTTAACCCCAGGAGGAAAAGGGATGTCAGGGAGAATTTCAGAGGTCGCTCCGAGATGGAGAGGCCATGGAGCAGTAGAAAATCTGCCAGGTAGACACGTGCGCAAAGCCACGGGAGGAGCGCTCACGCAGACAGACGCACCACTCCTGAGTGGGGGTAAGGCCACTGGGCACCCAGGACTGGGCAATCAGGTCTGGTCGTAGTCTCTGGAGGACGGAGAGGATGCAGGCCCCGGGACCACGCAGTCCTCAGTTCCGCGGTGGGACTCGCGCTCCCGGAGCGCATTTCTCTGCAGAGCCGCCTCTGGGTTCAGATGCTTGCGGCAGCCGCGACACTCCTGCGCCCCCTGCTGTCGTATGGCAGCGGTGCAGTCCGGCCTCAGTGGCCGGCTGCCTGGCTGCAGGGGCGGGGGGCGGGTCACTGGGGTCAGCTGGGCCCTGCACCGACTGACCAGTTCTTAGCTTCAGCTTGACATAGAGCGGCCAAGGTCATGGGACGTATCTGGACTGAGGGTGCACTTGAGTCTTGCTCGACAGAGGGACGGTGCACTTGAGTCTGCTTGGTCTATGCCAGCAACTTGCTGCATGACCTTGGTCAGATCCCCTCTCCTGCTTTCTGAGCCCGTTTTCCTGTCTTCCTCACAGGACTGCCAAGAGCAAAGTCCCCTGACAGCTCTCACTGTGGTCTGACCTGAATCCTTCCTCTCTACAACTGCCTCCCCAACTCTTGGAGGGTGAGTCAGTGAACCCCCAGCCTCCCAGCCTCCCCACCTCATTTGGGTGATTCATCAGGGCCCTTTCTCCCTGGGGAATGATTTCCTCAATGTTGAGTCACTGAGCCAAATCCTGGACACAGTCCAGGCACCTGGCACACAGGCTTAGCAGAGTCCTGTCTGTCCCACCAGCTCAGGAGGTGACTCTCCACACTAGGATTTCTCCCATCTTTCTGAGAATCAATCAGCTCTGGGCATGCTTCCTTCCTTGCTTAAACATCTTTGGTGGCTCCCTACTACCAACACAGTAAAGCTTGAACCTCAGTCTGACATGCAAGACCTTGTAAACTGAACCCTGACTTGTTTATCAAGCTTACTCCCTTTCCCACCATCCCTTAAATTTATATGACTTGCACTGCTCAGATCAGTGACTGACTCATTCTCACCTCCAGGCCTTTGCCCATGCCATCCTACCCCCAAAGCCCTCCCAGATCCTTTCAGCCTGCTGATCATTCAGGGGCCATTTGGAGGCCCCCTTATTTCCAGGAGGCCTTCCTTGGGTATTACCTTAATTCTCTGGGTAGCCCATTTTGTGTCTTCCCTGGGAGTCAGGGAAGAGGTACTTAGGGAGTACCTCTGTCTGGGGACTTAGGGAATAAGTCAATGTATTTTACTGCATCTTAAAAATAGGGGCAATTTGTCCTACTTAAGAATACTATAGAAAACATTATATGGGCTAAGATATGTAAAGGTCCTGCCCCTCAAAAAAGCTCCCTTTCCCTTTTGGGGGTTCAGTTTTCTATTCTGTAAAAGACAATGACCGGTGGAAAGGCTACTTTTAAGGACTAAGTCTGACCCCTGAGCCTGGTACAAAATATCTCAGTAAATCCTGAGCATGTATCACTGGCTTGGTCCTGGGCTCTGGATTACGTGGGTGGGATACCCAGGAGGTATCTATTATGGCTACTGACCAGAACTACTTGTTCTTCAGGAGAGGCCATCTCAGAACGTGCAATCAAAAGCCAATCCTGCCCTGGCCATAGCCACTATCGCCCAGGCTCCCAATTCTAGGCATGGCCTCCAGAGCACTCAACTCTTAAGAAGTTATTTCTTTTCTTTTTTGAAACAGAATATCACTTATTGCCCAGGCTACAGTGCCGTGGTGTCAGCACAGCTCACAGGAACCTCAAATTCCTGGGTTCAAGCGATCCTCCTGCCTCAGCCTCCTGAGTAGCTAGGACAACAAATGCCCAGTTAATTTTTTCAGTCTTCCTCAGGCTGGTTTTGAACTCCTCACCTCAACTGATCCTCCCTCCTGGGTCTCCAGGAGTGCTAGGATTATAGGTGTGAGCTGCTATGCCTGGCCAGAAGTTCTTTCTTTTTTTTTTTTTTTTTGAGACAGAGCCTCAAGCTGTCCCCCTGGGTAGAGTGCCATGGCTTCACTGCTCACAGCAATCTCCAACTCTCGGGCTCAAGCGAGTCTCCTGCCTTAGCCTCCTAAGTAGCTGGGACCACAGGCGCCCGCCACAACACCTGGCTATTTTTTGGTTGCAGCCACTATTGTTGTTTGGCGGGCCCGGGCTGGGGATTCGAACCCGCCACCTTGGGTGTATGTGGCTGGCGCCTTAGCCACTTGAGCCACAGGCGCCGAGCCCAGAAGTTATTTCTTAATTTTCACTTGCGTCTCTTATATTACAGCTCAATGGCTGGGGTCTCAAGTGCATGCTCTATGTCTCCCTCAACTCAGAGATTCTTTCTGTGTCAGTCTTTCAGATTCAAGCATTCTTCAGAGGGTCTTGAATCTTAACTCTGTCATAGACTTTCTATGTGATTTTGGGAAGGCCACAGCATTTCTCTGGGCCTCAGTTTCCCCATCTGTGAAATGCTATTACTCTAGATTCAATAATTAAGCAAACTTCTTTCTTTTAGTGCTTGGTAAGATATAGAGTCCTTTCACAAACATCCTCTCATATAACCCTTGAAATTCCCCGACCAGCCCCTTATCAGACGGTGCAACCACAGCTCCTTGGGGTGGCACATGTAAAGGCCTTGCCAAGTTGTTGCAGCTAGGAAGTAACCCTACTCCAAGACTAGGACTCCTCCACTCCCACAGGGATCTCTGCCCTCCCTCCAACTCTGCATCCTGCAATCCTGTGCTGGCTTCTCACCTGATTTAAAAATACTGATCCCTAGAACCCCCATTCCAGATTTTTTTTTTTTGAGACAGAGTCTCAAGCTGTCACCCTGGGTAGAGTGCCATGGCATCATAGCTCACAGCAACCTCAAATTCGGGCTCAAGCCTCCTCTTGCCTCTCACTTTTGCTCAGGCTGGTCTCGAACTCGTGAGCTCAAGCAATCCACCCGCTTCGGCCTCCCAGAGTGCTAGGATTACAGGCATGAGCGACAGCGCCCGGCCTCCATCCCAGATATTTTTAAATGCTCCCAGGTGGTTCTAATTTGCTGCCCAGCCTGAGAACCTGGATTAGATGAATATTCTCTCAGACTCACTTCTGTCCTATGGAGGCAAGGGTCAGGGCTGGCTCCTAGGGCTAAGTCTGTACATCCAGGACTAGGAGGCTTTAACATTTATTGAGCATGTATTATGTGCCTCACATTTCAACTTCTCAACATTATAAGTAGGTGCTATTATTAGCCACATTTGACAGATTAAGGAAAACTGAAGCACAGAGAGACTAAAAAACTTGCCCACAGTCACATAGCAAGTAGTAGTAGCAGAGTCAAAAAATTCAAACCCAGCCTTCTGGCTCTAGTCTGTGCCTTAAAACTCATTCCTTGTTTCTTGAGCAAAGGCAGGTAAGAAAAACAGATTTTCCAAGCTCTCCTTTGTCCCCAAAATGCAGTGACTGAAGATCCTACTATCCTAGCGTCTGTATCCTCTGACCATTTCAAATACCAGGAAGCCTAGCCCTAGCTCCTGCTGTCCTCTCTGCTCCAGCTCAGGAATGCCTGGCTAACCTCTTTTTCTCTCCCCACCTTATGAGCCACTTGGCCTGTGCCTAGTGACCCAGCTGTCCCAGACTGGGTATTTCAGGAAAGGGTGACTCAGCTGATAGCCTACCCGACCTCAGGCCCTGTCCAGGAACTAGTCCTGCCCTGTTCCTAAAAATAATGATGCTTCCCATTGGTGGGGCCTTACATCCTTACCCAGGCCCCATTCAACAGCCTTGGGAAGCACTGCTTTAGTCCCATTTTACAAATGAGGAAACTGAGGCTGAGAGGTATAGCTTACCCAAGATTATCCAGCTGGTTAGTATAGGAATACAGACCCAGACCTATTGACCCCAAACCCAGTGGTCTTTCCTCTGAGGATGAGCATCTCCTGTACAGCCCAGACCTACCAGGAAAGATTCACTTGACCATGCCAACTCCATATGCATGACCTTCATGGGGCAATCCCAGCCTCCGAGCCAACATCTAAACTTAGCACGGCGTGCAAATGACTGTTTCCTGATTCTTCTCCTACCACTTCCTACCATCCGCCACGTCTGACTCTGGTGTACCCCAAACTTCTGGCTTTTATTCCATTTCCTTGCCTTTGCTCAACCTGTTACCCTCCCACTTTGAATGCCCTTCCAAAGGTATATCTGCCTGTCAGTGTCATGTATCTGCTTGTTCATTCATTCGTGCCACAAATATTTACTGAGAATTTACTCCATGCTATGTATTGAAGATAAAGAATATAAAGATAAAGAAAGTCAAATCTTTCAAAATACATACAGGAAGAAAACTTGCACCCAATGAGAAGTAATTCCCACCGTATCTCCCCAGTCTACGCTGCCCTCTCTCCTCACATCTTCCTAGCCCACC